TTGGGATGTGGTGGAACGGGAGATTTGCATCATGGATGTGCAGCCGACAAATCTGCGGCATCTTTGGGATGTGGTGGAACGGGAGATTTGCATCATGGATGTGCAGCCGACAAATCTGCGGCATCTTTGGGATGTGGTGGAACGGGAGATTTGCATCATGGATGTGCAGCCGACAAATCTGCGGCATCTTTGGGATGTGGTGGAACGGGAGATTTGCATCATGGATGTGCAGCCGACAAATCTGCGGCAACTGTGTGATGCCATCATGTCAATATGGACCAAAATCTCTGAGGAATGCTTCCAGCACCTTGTTGAATCTATGCCACAAAGAATTGAGGCAGTTCTGAAGGCAAAAGGGGGTCCAACCCGTTACTAGCGTGGTGTACCTAATAAAGTGGCCGGTGAGTGTAGATTCATCCAGTCACTATATAAGGGGCTGTAGTACAGATAGTTTTCACTCATGGTTCTGACTTTATCTTCAAATTATAATAACATTAAACATGATAATACAAGTAACTACAGGGTATGTTTAGATTACATTTAAGCACACATGTAGATTTGCAAACTTTATAAGACCTTAAAATAGTCTTATTTTATCAATTGATGAAATTCCCCATGAGGCTTTGCTGCCTGAGCATACGTTTTAACTTCCTGGTTAGAGCAAAGTGTCATGGGAAATTTCATCAATTGATAAAATACGAGTATGATAGAATAGTTAACTCATGAGATAGTAAGCATGAGTAAATAATGAGTATGTTGGTTTTAGAAGTAATTAGCCTTTATGGGTAAAGCATTAATAAATGTGTTAATTCAAAGCTTATTAAGTCTGAATCATCCTTAATTAATGATGTTTTCAAGGTTAAGTAACCCTTTATGAATGATTAATAATTAAGGCTAAATAAGGTGTAGTTATTATAAAGTGTTACCCATGTTATAATGTCATTCTCTCATCGTAAACATACCCAGAGTGTTGCTTTGACTCATTCACGCATGTTTGAGAAACACCTGAATCTCCTGTGTTAAGTCGTGTGGAGCTGCCTAAATGATTGCTGGTACAAAGCACCTCCCTTTTGTACAAAGCTCCTCCCTGGAGCCCAGTCCCCAGCCCAGCTCTGCCACACAGAGCACCCCTCCCCTGAAGCACTGCTGTGAAGACGTGCTGAAGTGGGAGTGTCAGAAACGGTAGGAGGTTCTGAAAGAGTCTGAGGCCAATTTCAGGGCGTTTTGAGAGACTGTGATGGAAAGTCAAATTATCTTTATAATACACAGCTTTTTCATAACAACTGAAGGTAACATAGATGATTATGGTATAGAATTGATCTATGTAACTGGAACATACATAATAACCCCCCTTTAACTTTTGTGAGATAACTCATCTCAGATGCTCCGGAAGTGAATTTTTATTTTCCAACTTTAGAGCAAACATTACAGACTTCACGATGCAAATAAAAAAAACCCTCTTTAGAAAGGAGGCAGTGTTGAGTCCTTACTTATGGAGCCCGCGAGGGGACATGGGTGATTATTTTTTCTTTTGCGTTCCCACGCAAAAGTCGTTTATCACTGTTGTGCCTGCCGGTTTATTAACAAATTCACATGCTCACCATTAGGGAGTTAGCCTACTGCCTTAATTCAGCTTCAGAATGACTATATATCACACAGCCATGTATGCAAGTATGTCATATGCTGATATTTTAATACAGCCATGCAACATCAATGTCAATTTCACAGACTTGTGGTGACACATCCTGTTTTGGTAACTGGATATTTCAAAATAAAAGTCTGATTTAATTCAGTTCATATACAAAACCAACTTTTGCGTGGGAACGCAAAACAATTTTTCGAGGGAATGCAAATGTTTGTGAGGTAACGCAATAGTATTGCATGGGAACGCAAAAGAAAAAAAATTCCCCCATGTCCCCTCGCGGGCTCCGTCCTTACTTTAATAAGAGCCTGCAGCTTCTTCTTGGTCTGAATCTGGTCTTTGTAGAAGCTGACAGCTTCAGTGTGATGGCTGCAGAAGTAGCTGTAGGCTCCCATCATCTGTTCTCCGAGTGAACCTGAAAACTGACGAAAGGACATAAAGGTTTATTTTATACACGTGTCATTACCTGTGCCTTTGATGTTTATATACATTATTTACAATTTTAATGGAAAGTAAGTAATGTAAAAAAATACGGAATTATTACTTCTTTAAAATCTTGTTAAGACACTATCATTTGACCTAAAAGCGACAAGACAATGAACAGTTCTGGACTCTGCACCACCCCACCTGAGCGATGAGAATATCTCCCAGCTGTTGGATGTAGTAGTTTTTTGAGCTTCCTTCCTCCATGCTCTCTTTCTGGCGCATTTTGAGGCAGTTGAGGAAGATCTGGTGGAGGCCGAGCAGAACCTCCACTCCAGGAAAAAGCCGATCCATCCCAGCTTCGTCTATTAGAAGAGACTGCTTCAGCTCGTACATGTAGATGTGGACGAGGGTCTTTAACGTGCGCACGTGGTGCATCTCAGTCTGGATCAACTCTAGGAAACGATTATAAACAACTTCACTGCTGAACTGACTATTTTCACTCGTAGTACCAACGTACAGCGGGTAAAATAAGTATTGAACACGTCACCATTTTTCTCAGTAAATATATTACTAGAGGTGCTAATGACATGAAATTTCCACCAGTTGTCAGTAACAACCCAAGTGATCCATACATACAAAGAAATCAAACCATACATGTCCAGAAATGAAGTTATTTGTAATAATGTGGAATGGCACAGGGAAAAAGAATTGAACACACTTACTGGGGGTGTAAGAAAATATCGATACACTGAAATATCGCGATATTTCA